TTAGAGCTGTGGTGTTGGAGAAGATGCTGACCATCCGTGGAAGATCAAACAGATAAACGGCCACACAACAAACTGCAGCCAGAGTACTCCTTGGAGGCAAGGATGACCAGGCTTCCTCGCAGATATTTTGGGCATATTGCTAGGAGAGGCTTTCCTTGGAGAAAGAAAGATAGCATGTTTTAAAAGGTAGAGGGTCAGCGAAAGAGAGGAAGGTCCTCAGCTGATCGATGACTGGAGCAGTGAGCTCAAGTGTGACAGATGTTGAGGATGGCAGAGGGAAGAACAGGGTTCAGATCTGTTGTTCAGAGGGTTCCCATGAGTCATACAATGGCTCCTAACTACAGCAGTGAAGAACTACCACAAATTTGAACACCTAGAGGAAATACACAAAACTTTAGAAACTCACTGCCCACCTAAACTAACACAAAGGTAGAAAGTTTGAACAGACCCATCACAAAAGAAGAAATTGAACAGATAGCAATACCACTCCTAACCAAAAAATTCCTGGCCTACATGGCTTCACTGGTGAATTGTACCAGATATTCAGAGAACGCCGATACCATTTCTGCTCACACTGTGTCAGAATATAGAAAAAGGTGTACTTCCAAACTCATTCTGTGAAGGAAGCATATTAACCCTTATACCAAAGCCAGACAGCTCAACTCAGATTCACTGCTAGTCTGGTTCCAAAAATAATTGTTAGATGCTGTCGAGCCATTCATGACTCACATGGCCTTATGTACAACAGGTTGATATGCTGCCTGCTGTTACGTCGGCCTCAGAGTCATTGCTGTGTTTGAGTCTGCTTTTGCAGCACGATGTCTCTGTCATTCCGGGTCTTCCTCATTTGCACTGACGCTCTCTTTTACCCACCATGATATCCTCCAGACACTGATCCCTGCTAATACCATGTCTGAAGAACGCAAGACAGAATTTCATCATTATTGCTCACGAAGAGCATTCTGGGTGTATGTCTTCCAAGACATTTCCCTGTTCTTCTGGCTTTCCATGGTATAGTCAGTGTTTTCACCAGCATAGAGTTCCAGTGCCTCACTTCTTCAGTCTTCCCTTTCAGGAAGCTTTTGCCTTGGAAACGCTGTAGGGCACTTCTCCTCTGTCCTGCTGGATTGGTGTAAGTCAGAATTGACTTGACGGTATAGGCGCGGGTTCCTATTTAGAGGCTAGTGTTGTACATTGTATTACGTGCATGCTTAACATCTGGTGTCATCTTTGATGAAGTAACTCTTCTTTTGCCAATTTTTTAGGGATTTTTAAACAATGCTAAATGTTCAGATTTATTTTTTTTTTAGATTTTAATGAAAGTTTATAAAGAACTTGGATTTCCATTCATTCATTGTTGCACATTTTACTCTCTGTCCCTCCTTCCCCGCAGTTCACTTTTTTCTTGGGAAAAAAAATTCTTTCATTGTTTTACAGGCACACCAACAACAACAACAACAACACTGTCACATTATTATGCAACTGTTATATTGGACTCTTGTTAAATGTTCAGATTTCTTAATGTACTTTGAGTCCTTGATTAGATAATGGTTTACATTATATTTGGTCCTAATGTAGCTTGTCTTCTTATCTTTGCATAACGAAAGTTTTACATTTTATTAAAGCACAGTTTATCAGTTTTTTTTAAATGTTGTGTGCTCTTTGGCATCATATAAGAACTGTTCCCAAAACCATAGATTCCAGGTAATATTTGCAAGTTTTATAGTTTCATCCTTTACATTTTAATCTATGATCTATTTCTTATTAAGATGTATGTGAGGTTTGGGTCAGAGTTCATTTTTTGGCTTGGGATATCTACGTGTTCCAGTACCATTTATTGAAAAACTGTCTATCCTCCACTGAATTGCTTTTGCACCTTGGTGAAAAATTAATTGGTTATTCTTGAAAATATCTAGTTCTGACTTCTCAATTCTGCTCCACTAATCAAGGTATCAGCTAACACTTCTCAGTTCTAATGACTTTGACTCTTTAATAAGTGTTGAAATCAGCTAGATTTGTTCATCTCATTTTATTTTTTAAAAAATATTTTAGCTGTTCTTATTCTTCTTAGATTTTTCATAAATATGTTAGAATAATTTCTTCTGTGTGCACAAAAAATTGTGTGAAGATTTTGCTAGATAATACATTAAACTTGTGGATCAATTGGAGGTGAATTGATAGCTGCACAATGATGAATCTTTCAGCCCGTGTTCCTGGTTAATCTTTCCATTTAGATGTTCTTTTTATTTCTTTAATCACTGTTCTGTAGTTGCATAAAAGTCCTAGGCATGTTTAGTTATATTTAAACTTTGTAGATAGTCTTTTTGAGAGTTGGTGTTACATAGATGATATTACATTTTTATTTTATTTTCTACCTGTGCATTGCTGTTATGTAGAAATGCAGTTATTTCGGTATGCTGCAATCTTGTTGAATTCACTTATAGTTCTGGGAGTCTCTTGTAGAATCCTTGAGAGCCCTCAGTAGACCATCATGTCACCTGCAGATAGGGTTTATTTCTTCCTTCCCTATTTGGATGCCTTTTATATTATTTTCTTGACCTTATTTCACTCACTGGAACTTCTAGTACTGTGTTGAATAGGAGCAGTAAGAGTGATAATCTTTGCTTTATTCTTGTTCTTAGATGAAAACCATTCATTCTTTCACCATTCACCATGACATTAGCTATCGATTTTTAGAAACAGGAGGTTAAGGAAACTCCTCACTATTCCTAGCTCACTGAGCATATTTTTTTTTTCATAAATACTGATACTTGTTTTATCAGTTTTGTAGTTGTCTGATTTTCTTTTCAGCCAGTTAGTGTAATAGTGGATTATGTTGACTGATTAATGATTCATGATCCAGTCTTGCCATCTCTGTTGCATAATTCTGTTCATATGGTGCTGAATTCTTTTGGCTAATATTTTGTTCAAGATGTTTACTTTTTTTTAAAAAACAAGAAACAAGAAAGATAATAATCTATTTCCTGCCCCAAATAATGCCCAAATGCTCATCCTTTCAACATCAGGAATGTAGTGGAAACAATTCCAGATACAAACTCTCATGCTACAAGCAAAACAAGAGCTAGTGCCAGTTTCTTTCCCTCCTCTTACAACCACTTAGACCAGAAGATTTTTACGTTTATTATGGATATTGGTCTGTAGATTTCTTTTTTGTTTTCTCTCTTTTTTTTTTTATCTCTGTCTAGGTTTTGTATTAGGTACAAAATTTAAAGTCTTGAGGTTTGTGGTAGTGAATAGTCAGTTATGGCTTGAGGAACATAAAAAAAACACACAACTCAAGGTAGAGAGAGGTGAAGAATCCTGGGAAGGGAAATAACGTTGTTTAGGTGGAAGTAGTGTTGTCTGGATGATGCAAGGCAGTGTGCTAGAACAATTTCAGGGGATGGGTGCACAATCTGATTAGGTGGCTGGAGCAATTACTATAGTTGGTCTACAGAGGATCTTAGTTAATATTGATATGGTTGGGCTGGAAATGTGTCAACTGTAAAGAAAAGGTGGTGGTGGTGGTGGTGGTGGTTGTTTACCATTGAGTCAGACCTGACCCATAGCCGACCCTCCAGCGGTTTTTCAGCGGCTGTTAATCACATAGGAGGAGATTGCCCATCTTCTCCCATGGAGCAGGCGATGGCCTTGAACTGTATGCCTTCAGGATTGTAGTGCAGCTTCTTGCCACTAGGCCACCAGAGCTCCCTAAAGAAAAGATTAAATATAGAAATACCAGGGAGGCAGATCTTGGGAGGGGTAACCTGACCGAATACTTAGTCCTGAGCGTGAAATTGGATACCTCTCCCTGCACCTGCTGGGAAGGAGGAGGAGTTGGTGTGGAGAGGAAGTGAGGAGTCCCTAGAAAAGATATCAGGGTCTAGGGTTACCTTTCCTCAAACTTAATAGGAAGAGATCCTGTGCCCAGGGCTGATGAAATATTAGAGCGGCGTGGAAATGGAAGAAAGTATACTCTGCTGACACTCCTAAGGGAATTGTTGTGGTGTACTGTAGAGTCGGAACCGACCCACAGCTGACCCTCCAGCGGGTTTTCAGAGACAATTAATCACACAGGAGGAGATTGCCCATCATTCTCACATGGAGCAGTTGGTAGCCTCGAACCACATGCTTTTGGGATTACAGCACAGCTTCTTGCCACTAGGCCACCAGAGCTCCCCAAGGAAGGAGTTGTGGTAATGAAGCAGATCTTTATTTGGGTTCTTAGAATAATTTCTAGGTCGTGTAACACTGGTCTGTCCACTTGCTGTACAGAGGTAACTCGTGGTTGCTGTGAAGCCAAACTCTGTGACACTGATGAGTCAAATGTGATAATGTTTACCCATGGTGGACAGGGTTTGTTGAAGCTCCTGATTAAAACAGGCTTGGAAGCAGGAGTGGCATCCACTTCTACTATAGCTTGCCTCTGGAAACCCTATGAACCTGGAGAAGGGACAAAAGTTATACAGGAGGTGTCCAGGACTTTCATTCATAGGGTCGCTATGAGTCACCTGCAACTCGATGGCACTTAACAACAACAACAGAACAATTTCTTTTGTCTATTTTGCTTTTTTTTATTGTTGCTTTTAAGATAGATCAGTAGAAAATCAATATGGAAGCTCTGCAGTAGTCCTCAAAAGTTAAAAGATGTTGGTGGTCCTTGAAGTCAGCTGCTAAGTCCCATTCTTGCCTTGCATTGACCTGGAGAGGCCTTTGGTTCCATTCTTTTCTGAGCCAGGGAACCACTGACCATCTGCTTTGTAATCATCCGTTTACAGACTTGTCTCTGATCGTTTCTGCACAATCTCTTCCAGAAACGACAAGAGAACAATTCCTAGCTCACTTGTGGTTTAGATACCAAAAAGCAGAGCGAGGCCAATTTCTGTGCCCTTCTGAAGTAGTTCCTCCTCCACGTATCATTGTGTATCTGGCATATAGGATGTTCTTCTCGTAGCGCTGTGCTGGCCCTCAGGAAGCTCTTTTCTCTCTTCTCATTGCAGCTGCAGCCGACTCCGATGGGTCCAGAGCATCCTGACCCAGAGCAGCAAGTCACAGCCGGATGGGATCCTCTGCATCCTAGGTCAGTGCTTTTATACAAGGTGGGATGCAGGACCAGGCAGTCTGGCTCCATGTTCAACAGGGAAATGTTAACAGTATCAATGACATAAGTGGTGCCTTAGTGTCCTGCTCTTATTGCCCTGAAATCTCTTGTTTAATGAAGTTAGGTGAGATTTCAGTCACTTAGGGAGTCTTGACCTTGAGACAAGCACTCCAGACATGGTATCTCATTTCTTCTCATGGCCATAGAAGGAAGCAGTGTTACTCCTGTTTCACAGATGAAGAATCTGAGACTCTGGGAGATAAAATAGACTTGCTCAGGGCCACAAAGGGAAGAATTGGCAATTTCTTTGTTCTTTAAAATGTTCTGTTATTGTGAGCATGTATCACATTTAAAAATGAAAACTTTATATTAAAAAAAATTAGACAATACCTGAATATATAATAATATGTCATAAAAAGTTTCCAACATGTCAGATACTCACTTTCCAGAGATAATGTGGTCAGCTGTACCTTTTTTGTCCAAACACAAATGAGAATTCAATCTATGTCACATGGTTACCCTTGTGTTTCTTTTTTCCTTACTGTGACAATATATCTTGGATACTTTTCTATATCAGACTTCTTATATTTGCTCTCTCTTTCCTTTACTTTATTAAATTAATTATATATCGTCTTTCATAGTAATTTCAATTTCTGTTCTTAGCATTGAGCACTAAAAGTGCAATCATTTGGTCAGGTACTTTGTCCTCAACCAGCCAGTCTTCTAAGAAGAAAACAGTCCTGGTAGTTTTTTATCTGTCTTTCCTCAAATGTTCTATGCAAAATTTTTAGTTTTTAACTTAATATTTGCATTTAAATTATGCCTCCAGAGCGGGGCACATTTGGAGTTTAAATCTTGCCTCCATTACTACCCCAGCCCAGAAGTTACTGAGACCCTATTAGTAGTAGAGGTAAAATTCAAGCCTGAAGCTTCAGATGACTCCCCAACTCACCACTCTTTTTGCCATGAATTTATCCATAAATTAAACCATCTGTTTGTTACTGTACTTTCACTATTATTTCTATTACCCAAGGCCTTAGAGGGGAGCTTTGGTGGCCTCCTGGCAAGAAGCTGCCCTGGAAACCTTAAAGGCACGTGATTTGAGGCCACCAGTGGTTCCATGGGAGAAAGATGGTCAGTCTCCTCCCTGTGATTAACTGCCTCTGAAAACCACTGGAGGATCCACCTCTGTGATACACAACAAGAACGAGGCTTTGGAAAGATATTTACTTGTGTTTTATTGACTGCAAAAGCATTCAACTGCATGGATCTTAATAAACCACACACAGATAGCATTGCAAAGAATGAGAATTCCAGAACATAGACCAAGCAGCATGTTTGATAAGAACAAGGGGATACTGAATGATGTAAAATCAAGAAAGATGAAGGGTAGCTCTGGTGGCCTAGTGTCAAGAAGCTGCACTGCAATCCCAGAGGTACACGGTTCAAATCCACCAGGTGCTTTGCAGGAGAAGGAGGGACAATCTCCTCCTGTACCAGTCGGATCTGATTTGATGGTGCACACACAAAAAAATAGTAACATAAAATTAAAAAAAAAAATTTAAGAAAGGTGTGTGTCAAGCTTGTATCCTCTTACCATAGCTGTTCAATCTGTAGCTGAGCAAATAATCTGGGAAACTGAACTACGTGAAGAAGAATGTGACATCGGGATTAGAAGAAGACTCATCAACAAACTGTGTTACATAAATGATACAGCCTTGCTTGTGGAAAATGAAGAAGATGTGAAGCACTTATTGGTGAAGCTCCATGACTGTAACTTTCAGTGCGGATTACACTTCAACATAAAGAAAGCACAAATTCTCACAACTGGACCAATAAACAACATCATGATAAATGGAGATAAGTGTCTGGATAGTGCAAATTGTTAAGCAAGCCCTTGACTAGAAGACAGAAGATTTAGGACCCATCCAGAAGTGTCTCAGCCCCTGGCTCTGATGATCTGCTTCTGAAAGCACATAGCTTTGAAAAGCATGTTCTATATACCATGCATTGAGTCTCACTATGAGATGGAGTGGACTCAACCACAACTAACAGCAACAACCCTTAGGTCAGATCCTTGGCCTGGATGCAGTCGGTTGTGCCAAGGTGCCAGGCAGTAAGGTGATTTACTTAGCAAGAAGGCAGCATGCTGAGGGGCTCAGCATACCCAGTCCACTAGTTCTGTAATTCTGTAGGCTTTTCAACTTTGGGCACTAGGGAGAGCCAGGCTTCTTACTTTTGATTCTTTTTCCGCAGTCCCAAACCCCTCCTTCCTGGAAGTGCTGGGTGGGCTTTAACAAGGCTTTGATGTTAGTTGGGAAAGGAATCATTATATATTAAAAACTCCCTGTTGCAGACAGGTCCCTTCCTCACTTTTCTCTGGCCTCAGTGACTGGTTCCAGCAGTATTTGGATGCTTCGAGCTTCTTCTGGCTCAGCCTTTTCCTCTTAGTTTCACAGGACCTGTTACCCTTGACACATCTCTTGCCCAAAGCAATCACTCTGGACCCTTGCAGGCACTCAGGAGCCTGTAGTCTGGATGCCTGAGGCATTAGGAAACAATAGTTCATTTCCTTTTTCACTGTGTCTCACCCAGGCCTTCGGGACTGGAAATTTTGTGAGGCTTAGTTTCCACTGCGTCTAACACCTACCACAGAGCCTCAGGCATTAGAAATGTTTGTGAAATTATGTGTATGGTTCAGTTTTATTTTCTGGAGTCAGTCCATATGAGCCCTTTGGGAAGTAACTATTTCTCTGACTCCTATTACAGAGTCCTGATGGCTCCATGATTAAGTGCCCAGCTGCTAACTAGAAGTCAGTACTTCAAGTCCATTAATTGTTGTACTGGAGAAAGATGTGACAGTCAGCGTCCCTAAAGATTTACAGCCTTGAAAACACTGTGGGACAGTTCTGTCTTGTAGAGCGGCTCTGTGTCAGAATCAACTTGAGGGCAACAGGATTAGGGCGGTGGTGGTGGGGTTTGTTTGTTTTATTTCTAGTATAACTGAGACTATCTCAAAATCTTTAATCTGTCAGGGCAAGAATTGGACCACGTTTTTTTTTTTTACTTCCATCTTCAAAAGTGGCTTTATCAAAATTAATGTTTTCCATAATTTTACTTTTTTATTGTCTGTTGTGACTGTATTGTTGAGTAGGAACCAACGCATAGCTGATGTTCCAATGGGCTTTCAGGCAGTTAACCACACAGGAGGAGATTGCCCGTCTTCCTTCTGTGGAACAGCTGGTGGTTTCAAACTGTGTGCCTTTGGGATTGCAGCACAGCTTCTTACCACTAGGCCACCAGAGCTCCCTAAACTGTGTCAATCTTGGAATGCATTTAGAAGTACTTGATGTTGAGACCTCTTTCCTTCACAAAGAGTTGATGAGATTGGTCTTAATTAAGAAATCAGAGGTCTGACCTGCTACCTTTAACCTGACTATCAGGGTTTTGTTCAAGAGAGGAAAATTATTTGGAATTTTTAACACCCCATAATACGGTATGACTGATCAGAGCTGCCTTTGCTTTGTAGGAATTGATAGCAGGTACAATGAAGGCTGCAAAGAGCTGGCAAATTATCTTCTCTTTGGACTGTATGATCAGAATAGCAATGATTTTGAGAAGGCGGGATTTTCTGAAGAAATTCTAGATGGTAAGTACATATTGGCAAAGTCACTATGTGGGGAGGAGTGGGTGTGTGGTTTGTTTGAGTCTTTATTTCATACTCCTTTTCTGGGAAAATCTGATCAAATTTAAAATAGCCCAAATCCCTAAAACTTGTTTGACTTTTTTATAATAAAAACAGCATTTTGTCTTTGATGATATTTTCCCCCCTTTGATGATATTTTAAGTATCACGAGACAACTAGCTTTGAAAATATAAATATTGGGTAAATGAGCTCTAAGAAGAAAAAGGTAATGCGTTTATTCCTCTCTTAATCAACTCCTTCATTATCTGACATCTCACATTTAGGACAATAGAGAAAAATCTACCCTTTTATTCTTTTTTTTGTTTAGAACACATATCTGGCAGTAATGAGCACAGGGTGTGATGCTGTAGTGGTTAGAATTGTGTATCAGTTTGCTGAGCTATCCTCAGCATTTTGGCGATTATGTGATCGTGTAAATACGTATGTAATTATGTGGACTTACATCGTGGTCTTCCATTTTGTGATATGATGTGGCTATCCTCTATTTTCACATAACACTGATTTTTGCAGGATAACCTGGTGTTGGGAACCTAACTGTCTGTAAGTAAGCACTGAGTGCATCAGTATTTGGCTTTCTATCTTCTTGGCAGAGTGCTGATTCTTCTCTTAATTGGCCACTGCCTCTACTTGAAGGAGGCTCACATTGTGCACTGTTGCCCTTTGAAAGCACTTTGAACTGTGAGTCAGGGATGAGCCTGCAGGCTGCATCTACAAGGAAGACTTCATGTGGATCCTCAGCTTAGGAACAGAGGCTCTTTGTCCTGCTGTGTCTTCGGGGATTGATTTCTATGTGACTTTAATTCACGATGCTGCCTGTGACCACAATGCAGGCTTTCTGCTTGCATTCCCCTTCCCTCGACTCTGAGACACTTGCCCTGTGTTGATGCAGCTATGGGCTGTTGCCCAGGAGCTATCACTGATGGCACTTACTTAACGTCATGACTTGTCTGCCAAATGGGCCAGGCGACTCTGAAATAGACAAATACAACTGGACAGAAGACAGACAGCTCTTGTGCAGCAGCTGGGGGAGGCATGCAGGCAAACATCTGATGTTGCAATAATCCAGTGCAGGAGTTTTCAGATGGGAGAGATTTTGTTCCCTTAGGGGACATTTGGCTGCGTCTGGAGACTTTCTTTTTTATTGTCACCACTGGGGGAGGGGCGTCATTAGCATCCAATGAGTAGAAGCCACAGATGCTGCTGCACATCTTCAAATGCGTGAGAACGCCCCTGGCAACATAGAATTATCTGATATAAATCGTCAATAGTGCTGAGATTGAGATTGATGTAATGTATGTGAAAATTTTTCTTTGGTGAAGTCCTTCTCTGAATAGTGCTTATTCTGTTAGGTTTATGAAAGATTACTTTTTTATTAAGAAATATAGAAGGCGTAGGTTGAAATTATTGCATATTTTAAGATTTGGTTTTAGATTTTGAATTGGAAGAAATACTCCTAAATGAAAAATGTCCTTGCACTATACTGATCTGGAAAGAATGACTCTTGTTAATTCATTTAGAGAGTTAGAAAAATACACAAAATCTATGGACAGATGTTTGAACCACACCACATTTTACTCTTAGGGCATTACAAGGCTAATGTTGTGTAGATAGTTTAAGTTCTTGAGATTTTTTTTTTTTTAGAATGTTTTTATAACTTTATCCTTCTCCCGTCACTTTGGGTGCTTAGGAAATGAGCCTTTCCCTCAAAATTAACAAATCTGTTTTTTAAATCCAAGTAGTTGAAAAACTCCTGTCACCAAATTTATGCATCTTCATTTCGATCTCTAATTATATGAAAGGAAAAAAGATCAACCTCAGGGATTTAATTTTAAAAGAAACTTTAGAGTCATTTACATATGCGTCTCAACTCTCCTTTTTTACCTGACTGTGATTTTTTCACAGTGGTGACATCAGGGTTCTTGGAGTCCTGAGAATGTTTAATCAGATTTAACAACTCCTGTGCTGTTGGACTCTAATGTATCTTCAAGATACGTTATTTTAGTTTTGAGTATAATCTACATAGGAAGGCCTCGGTCTGTTTTTGGGTGCCGTTAATGTCCACTGCAACTCATAGTGACCTTATGAACAACGTAGCTGAACCGTCCCCAATGCTGCACCGTCCTCACAGTCTCTGATAGGCTTGATTCCATTGTTGCAGTCAGTGTGTCAGTCTGCCCTGTTGAGGGTCTTGCTCTTTTTCTCTGACCTTTCCCAGCATGATGCCTTTTTCCAAGGACTGGCCGCTCCTGACAGCTTTCCCAAAGTATGTGAGACAAAGCTTCAACGTCTTTGCCTCTAAGAAGCACTCTGGTGCTCAGATTCTCTGCTCATGTCAACTTATCAGTCCTCAGCAGTTTAGGATAGGATTCTTTGGAGAATGTGAATGAGGGACAGAGTGCTAAGAGATGAGATGAGTCCCCTTCCCCACCTCTTGCCCTACTTTAACTCTAGGACTGACTGTAGGATCTCCAGTGAAGGAACTGCTCCATGCTGGCATCCCTGAGGCTCAGTCAGGTGTGGAGCTAAGAGTGACCAAAAGTCAGCATCGTGGAGCTTTCTTCTTGGAGGCCGCCCAGCTGTATGGTGGTTATGGGCTTGGAGACAGCTGTGTCACACTAAGTTACTGTGTTGGGCCTGCTCTTAACATGCTGCACCAGCTGTCTCTTGCCGCTGGGTACCTGTCCCTGCTTCAGCCGGCTCCTCTAGCTGCTTCCCTAGCTTCTCCTATTAGAGAGAGGCCCAAGGGCTCCATTCCATGGAGCGTCTGTGTTTCTTCCGGAAGAACTTCCCTTTTGTTTGAGTGTTCACTCTGCTCTCCTATCCCTGCCCCATTCCATGGCTTATGTAAAAAAAAAAAAATTGTTATGTAAAAAACCCCCAATTGTTGGTTTACGTATGCTCATATTTGCCCTCTTGGGATTGCTATTTGCTGGCTTCACCAACAGTTGCTGCTTATTTCTTAAATCTGGGAGCTGCTGATCCATTTATAGACATCCTTCCTACTTGCCTCCACTTCCTTCCTCTAAGCCTTTCCTGTGTACAAAATCCACCACACACAGTAACCTTTCCCAGAGCTGACAGGCAGCCAAGGCCCCTGGTTGCCTTGAGAAGAGACAGTGAACTTTGGCCACTGTTATCTACTGTACAACCAGCCATACATGAGGTTGTCAGTACTGTAGGTTTGACTGTGTTGAATTTGCACAAAATACAATGCTTGAGTTAGCTGCATGCTGTTCTGTTTTCTTGTCTGTGTCTGTATTGCCATAACCAAGAGCCACAAGAACATCTCATGGGGACTGGGAAATCCTTTGCTGCCAGCATTTGGGAGTTCTGCAGTCACTTTGAAATGTGTTGTCTAATTAAGTAATAGTCAGGTCAGAGTTTTGTCATAATGTCTCTGTTGTAGTTTTTAATGATTTTACTATTTATGTGAGAAGAAAAGGTCTTGCTCATGTTTTTATTTGGTTTTTCTTGCAGATATAATCATATTGATTAAATCTGATAGTGTCCATCTGTACTGTAATCCTATAAATTATCACTATCTCTTACCCTACGTGGCACGTTGGAGAAATCTGCATTTCCACTGCATGACGGAGAATGAGGTGAGGGATAAACGATGGAATAAGCACTTACACACTCTCAGAGTACTCTTTCTCAAAAATACTGATCAGAAACAGGAAACCTCTTTTTGAAAAAATCAAATTAGAGTATGGTTATGCCAAAAAAAAAAAGTGACTTATTTAAAGTGGAATGTTTCCTGTTTCATTGTGAGGCTACGGGTAAAGGATATGCTTGACGTGATTGTAAATGATTATGTGCTTGATAATTAGCTGAGATGAATAGTGATTGACATTCACTCAGAGGTGTGTGTCCTTGAATATAGGCCTGTTGATTGATCTGCTTCTGTAAGGTCACTGACTTGGAATAGTACAGCTTTGCACACAGCTTGACGACAGCTAACGACAGTAAGAAGGTTGGGAGCCTGCCTTCATGGTTTGCTTCTTAGTCCTCAGCCTGAGCCCCATGTCTAGGGGACTTGGGCCTAACAACTGTCACTTGATAGTATTAAAAGCTTTGGGGCATTCTCGTGATTGGAATTTCTTTATATCTGCTTTTGCTCCTTTGGGGCTCTTTTCAAGGCTTTGGCTGGGAATCAAGTTGGGATTTGAGATTTGAAATTTCATGAAAATTGTAACTCTATGTGATCTCACGAATCCTTCATGAATATCTTCTTTTCTTATATTTAGGTCACTAAGTTATTTGTAGTTTATATGTATGCGCAGTATAAGGGAAATATAAGTGTGTCTGACCAGCACATAGAAAAAGCTGGCTCCGAGGTTTTCTAGAATTTCATCCGAGATAACTCTAAGAGAATGCAGAGAAAATATGTATGATATCTCAGCTGGGTTTAATTGCCTGTCAATTTCCCTTTCTAGTATGAAGATGAGGAAGCTGCAGAAGAATTTAAAATTGCCAGCTTTGTGGACATGGTCAGAGACTGTAGTAGGATTGGCATTCCTTACAGCTCTCAAGGTGAGGACTGGGCAGTTAGTCATTCTAGAACCCTGCTCGGCTTGTGTGTGAATCAGATGTCCTTGGTTATAGTGTCCTTCGAAGCATTCAGCCAGAAAACTCTTTGGTCCATTTGAACCACAGCAAATAGGTTAAGTAGAATGACACTTGGGGACTTTCCTATCCAGGCATGATGTCATATCTGTGAAGCAGTAGGCTGTGGTCAGGTAGGGCTGATAAGGGATCTAGTCCATAGCATTATTTTATTAACCAAGTAATTAGAATAGTAAATTTTATAGAGACTTTTAAATACATCCTTGTCTAGTGAGGTTCAAAAACGATAGTAAAATGACAAGAAAAAATTAACCATTCCAACAATGTTTATGTCTTTCAAAGGAGCCTTGGTGGTGCAGTGGGTTAAAAATAGGGCTGCTAACTGGTAACTTGGCGATTCTGACCACCAGCGGCCCCACTGGACGAAGATGAGGCTATCTGCTTCTATGAAGATAACCCTGGAAGCTGTATGGGGCAGCTCCACTTTGCCCTACAAGGTCACTGTGAGCTCAGATAGATTTGTTAGTGGCAAGTTGAGGAGGTTTGGGGTTTAGGTCTTAAAACAGCAACAAAACAACCCTTCACATTGAAGCTATTGTTACAGAAAAGGAAAACTTTTGGTTTGGTCCTTTTCCCTTGAGGAAGTTGGTTGGCTGTGTTTCTGGAGGCAGAGGAGCCAAGTTTGGGTCTGTTAGTAATTATATCTACTAAATGATGCAAGTCAGAAGTAATAAGCCGCGATGACTTACTTATTTACTTCCTTAGGAAACCAGAAGACGTGTGGTGAGGAAATGTGAATTTCTGTGACTTGTTTGTGGTTTTATTTTTACTTTGTATTTCTAGTCTACGTATCTGACTCCTTTATCTGTTCTAATTTCATTTTGTTTTTTGAAGACGTTGGTGAGCTTATGAGAGGGAAACGATGCCTTCTCACCACCCTGGATCAGGTTTAGACGCTCATATCTAGGACGGTACTTGATACATGCTGTTGTATTTAATTCCTCTAGGTCACCTGCAGATATTTGATATGTTTGTAGTGGAGAAGTGGCCGATTGTACAGGCTTTTGCACTTGAGGGCATTGGAGGGGATGGATTTTTTACCATGAAATATGAGGTATGTATGAAAAGCAACATGCCTGGGTTTTGTGTGCCACTGGGCATACAACATCTAAATTGGGCCCTAAATTTCAACACCTCGGAACATTCGCCTTGGACTCTCAAGGGTATGGAGCAACTTATGTGAAGCCTTGAAATGAAAAACGCTTGTTTTTTTTAAAGCCTCATTCCCAAACTGAGCTCCCATAACCTCTCTGCTTGGACTTCTTCTCTGACCTACCTCTTCTCTTTTCCCCATTCTGTATTAACTGTCCTTCCTGTCCTCTCCTGTAGCATGCCAGTGTGACAGGTATCATAACTCATTTTATTTTACATTTGTCACAGCTCCCATTCATTCACCTAGCCAACCATAGTCTTTGGATTAGAAACTCCTCGAGAGCAAAAATAGTCTTCCTGTTGTTGTTTGTACATTAGGAAAGTCTTATTATTTGAATACTGTTCAAAAGCATTGAGAGAGACAAAACAGAATTTTGGATAAGTGCTATATAAGAGGAGGAATGAAAGAGTTACTTTCGTGGTAAGAACAAGGTTTGAAAGCCCAGAATCGTCACATTGACTACAAGTAACAGAACATCAACTAGCCCACGGCAGCAGCCCCTGGTAAAAAGTCACGTTTTGGGGAACTCTGGTGGCCTAGTGGCAAGAAGCTGCACTGCAATCCCAGAGGGATGTGGTTCGAATCCACCAGCTCTGCTGGAGAAGGAGGGGCAATCTCCTCCTGTACCAGTCAGATCTGATTTGACGGTACACACACACAAAATAATACAATAAAATAAAATAAAATTTTTTTAAAAGTCATATTCTGTATAGAGTGAGACTTAAAGGGAAAAACAGGCCTTAGGAGGTAGGAAGGAAACTTGCAGCTTTATAACACTAATATCTATTGTGTTATTGCAAGTAGAGTCGCTGTTAGACGCTGTCAGGTAGACACTGATTTTCAGTGCCCCTCTGAACAACAGATCTGAGCTGTCCTGTCCTGCACCGTCCTCACAGTCTCCACATGCTCAAATTCATTGTTGCTGTCATTGTGTCTGTCCACTTGTTGAGGGCCTGCCTTTCTTTTGCTGACCTTCTGCCTAGTGACTTCTTCCAAGAATTGACGCCTCTTGACAATGTGCCCAAACTTTGTGAGATGAAGTCTCACCATCCTCCCCTCTAAGCAGCTCCCTGGCTGCACTTCCTCCAGGAAGTCCAAGGTCGATACTCTTCGCTAACATGTTTCCAAGGCATCACTTCTTTGATCTTCTTTACTTATTGCCCAGTTTTTGCAAGCATATGAGGGAGTTGAAAATGCCATGGCTTGAGTCAAGTGGCACATTAGTCTTTAAACTGACATCTTTACTGCTTAACACTTTTTGTTAAATTTTTTTTTTACTCTTTAACTCTTTAAAGAGCTCTTTGACAACAGATTAAGCATGTATGTCTATTATATGCCAGTAATTTCTTTGAAATGACTAATTCTTAGAGTAACCCTCAGATGTAGATACCATTATTTTTCCTATTTTATTTTGTTGTTATGTGCCATTGAATCACCTGCGACTCATAACGGCTTGCTCTATCCTGTGCCAACTTTACTGCCTCTGACACACTTATCCCCATTACCCCAGTCACTGATTATCAGTCCATCTCATCAATGGTCTTCCTCTCTTTCTCTGTCCCCCCACCCTTCCAACCATGATGTCCCTCTCCAGGGACTGGTCCCTCCTTGCAACATGCTCAAAGTATGTCAGACGAAGCAGTAGAGAAGTTAATTTCTCAGCATTACAAAGCCAGTGAATAGCAGGGCTGAGACTAGGAGCAGATGAACTAGCTTCAGAGGCTGTGCCCCTCGCCCTCGAGCTGCAGGTAGCACAGCTTGGGGAAGCAGTGCGTTGAGAGGCCACTGGGCTGATACAACCCAGCTGAGTCCAATCTTCTGGCTCCTATCTTAAGATGCATCACCCCTCAGAGTTTCTTCCAAAAAAGGGGAAAAAAACCAAAACACCTCCAAAAGCCTTTGAAGGTAATGTACGTCTTTACTAAGGGTGGTGGTTGTTTTTGTGTTTTTTTTTTTAGAGGGTGGGATAGGTGATGAGGTAGAAACAACATGAAACATAGAGTTTGTATAAATCATCTCTCAAGATAAATTGATCTAGAGCCTGACCTTTTCTGTAGCTGCTAACTTTCATTCTCTCAAGTACTTTTCTGCTGATTATCCTTGCGTGAATTCTCTTCTGTAAGCCACTTTTCCCCACACTTTTAAGGTGTAGAGCAGTTTGACTTCCTGGTCTGCCCTGCCAGTATCCTCTATGGTAGTGGTGGTGTTGTGTACCCTCAAGTTGGGACAGATCCACAGCTGACCCTCCAGCTGGTTTTCAGAGGCACGTCATCACACAGGAGGAGACTGCCCATCTTTCTCCCCCAGAGCAGCTGGTGGATTCCTACCAGGGATTGCAGCTCAGCTTCTTCCCACTAGGCTACCAGAGCTCCTTGTGTCCTCTCTGCCACTCTGATTCACTTACTGCAGGCCTGATCACTGCCTCCACCTCCTCCAGCTATTGCCTGCTTTGAAGGCTAAGCAAAGGAGAAGTACAGATAATTATCACTTAATTTTTCAAATGTCTGTTTTGGTGCATGGCTATATCCCGAAGAAAGTTGTTAGCCCAGAGGATGTTTTGTGGCTGCTGTGGCAGATACTGGCATTAGAAAGGAAGCCAGGCCCAGCCATAGTTTTTACTTGGCATATAGGCTTTACCAAACTGAGCCATAGATACAGAGAACTTATTTTTCCCAGTAAGGAGTGTGGGGAAGTTCTGTGGGGGCTGCCCCTGCCTCCACTTCTTCCTTCTTACTCTCCAGCTGCTGGACTTGTGACCTGGAAATGCCAGTTTACACCACCCAGCTTCCTAGGGGAGGATACCAAGGGCACATGTCTGAACAATGAGAGCAGCCAAAGAGCATTCATTTACCTGTTTATGGACAAACATAGGCTCTTCACATTTGAAAGATGTAACAAGACTAGTGCAAAGACGCAACAGGATTTAAGAAGCTTGCAAGACTAGATGAGCATGCTTTTAACAAAGATTTTCTTTAGGATATGAAATAAAAATTGAGAAAAATCCTCTTTTCATACTTTAAAAACATAATAAAAAATTAATCAAGTTGTTAGAAAAAAAAAATTTGAGATGCAAGTCCTTGCCTTAAGAAAGGTTGTCAAACACCTCAATTCATTACCTCCTCCCCAAAGCATCTACTGGGTTGACACACTTAAAAAACTATCCCAGAATATAGAGGAAGATATTAAAAGAATGCCAAAGAAGATCATTAAATGGATGATAGAGAATGGAAATTGATAGCACTGAAAATGAAGGAATTAATTGAAGGCTTTTATATAACCTAGTGGCCTACTGGTAATAAGTTGCACGGCCAACTCAAAGGTAGAAAACTTGTATCCACCAAGTCCAAAGTGAGAGAGATGGACAATCTCCTCTCGTAAGATTAATTACTTCCAGAAACCTGGAAGGTCAACTATGGATTGACTCTAACTCAATAGTACACAACAACAACAACAACATGCTTGTCTTCCTCACCCCCACCCTCAGGGAGACAGGCATTTATTTACTGTTTACTACCCCCACTCTAGAAAAAACAAAGAATCAAGAGAAAGGGGTTCTTAGGAAACTGCAGAGGTCTAGTAAGGCAGCCTACAGATACTGGTAAGCATCCTACGGTGCACATGGCACCCCCCCACAACAAAGAAATTATCTGACCCCAAATGACAGTAGTTTTGCATTTGAGACGAACCCTACTTTAAGAATACTTATAAAGCTATGCAAGTGAAAAAATTAGGTAACACCAGGAAAAACAAGCATTTAAAAATGTCTAAAGGTGAGAGAGAGAGAGAGAGAGAGAGAGAGAGAGAGAGTGTGTGTGTGTGTGTGTGTGTGTGTGTGTGTGTGACTTACAGTAGATACTGTTTACATGGTCTTAAATTCTGGTGGCCAAAGGCAGTTCAAATACATCAGCTACTACTTCCCTGGAGAAAGATGGGCAGTCTACTTCCATGTGATTAACTGACTCTGAAAAACTGCTGGAGGGTGTTTAGCTATGGGACAGTTCCAACTGGACCGTATAAAACAACAGCATTATAAAACGGTAATAATTGGTATAACCAAAAAACTCATAAAATTAGTTAAGGTTTGAAGAGGCAAAGGACTTTTATAAAGAAGTAATATGGGAATGTGGAAGGGCATAAATGATATTTTTTGCCATAATAAGTTAATTCTTAGTTTCTAAATTAATAAATTAAAAATACTGGTAGAAGCATATTCTATTAAAAAACGGAAGTCAATATCATGAGGAAAATGTTAAGAGTTCTGTGTGGTTTGTTGGAGAGTGAAATTAGTAGAGGTGTATTAGTGAATGTTGAAAGAGAGTTTGGAGTTTTTTTATATTTTTGTTGTTGTTATTGAGTATACATCAGTTCAACAATTTCTAAATATAATATTTTTTAGCTAGTTATTTTCCTCAAGTTGTAGAACTCTTTTCATCCTCTTAGAAAAAGAGTTTTCCTGCGCCCACTCAAAGTAAATTCACTGCCCCCCTAAGGTTCCTATGTGATCTTTCAAGTTGTGTTATCAGTTTGAATTCCCTATATATCTTGTAAGAGCTTAATGTTCAAGGGAGATTTTATTTCCTTTTCCTTTTCTTTTTTTTTTAAAAAAAAATGAAATGAAAGTTTACAGAGACTTAGGGCTTCCAGTCATTCATTATTCCACTTTTCTCCCTGCCCACCCCCTCCCCCAAAGATTTTTTTTTTAAACTAAACTACTATTTGGTTTTAAGAACTCTTTAGGATATATTTTTGATTTAAGATTGAAAGAATATCTCAAATGATACAGGGTTCATTCCTCATGATTCCAGAAATTCTGGATTTTGTTGAATTTGAAATTCTGTTACACGTTTTCCTCCTTTTGGTCTAGATCCTTTTACAGAGTCTTTCTTCAGAACATTCAGTTACGGTAGCCAGATGCTGCCCTGTTATTCTGCTCTTATATAGTAAATAATTATTAATGGAGGCAGTTCGCCACACGTTTTACATCCTCTTGTTCCTGACTTTGCTGCTTTTTTTTCTCCAAGTGAGTAGAGATCAGTTGTCATGCCTTGGATGATCCTTCACCAGCTTTTAAGACCCCAGTAAACTAGGAGATAGAACAGAAGTGCTAATAAACACACTATTAAGCCAGTAACTGAGTTGTCCCAGAAAACCAGGACCCTGAACATCCAAATCAAGGAACAAATCCCATGAGGTGTTTAGTTTGTATAAACAGTCTCAGCACCTTCTTTTTTTTTTTGTCCTTACTTCAATAGTTTATTTCATACAAGTTTTGCCAAATCTTTTTTCAGAAAAATTTGTCACTTATTAACAGCAAGGGATTAATATTTTTTAAGTTTTTTATGTACTATTTTATTATTTATACATGGGCATATATTACTTTAAAATATTGTTTGGGGAGTTTTTTAGTGCTGAATCCTATAATGAATAAATTCTTTTTAATGAAGGCAAAAATATGCATATATAAATACGTGTTGATAACATGTGTATCTCTACTGAAGATAGTCTGAAGTTCTGGAATAACAGTTTATTGAATGAGACAGCATTTCTTAATGTGCAAGTTTTAATATTGGTAAATCTTTCTTTTTATTATTCTAATCACACTGAATTTTCACCAAAACAGTAATTTCTGAACATCAGAAAATAAAATCTTATCATCTTAATATTGAGTCATGAATTATTTTTATGTTTTTGCCTTTGTATTACAGTTGCAGGATGTGAGTTTGAATTTGTGGAATGTCTACAGCAGGATGGATCCAATGTCTCTGGAGAATTTGCTTTCAGAAGTAAGAAATTAATTTGTTTTTACTTGTAAGTCATGACCAGTCTAATTACCCACTGAGGACGTAGCATTTAATGTGAAGGAGCACAAGATATAGTTCAGTTTGCTTTAGTGAAGGAATAGAGCAATAGTACCTCAAAAATTAAAAAAAGCACACAAAACACTTTGGAAGAATAATTCTATATCTTGATTGCAGTTATTATTGTATAAATTTACAGATGGCAATAACTTGGCATAGAGCTATTCAATATTATGTTATACTAACCAGTGTAAATTTTTTGTAAAGTTTTGATATTGTTCATTAATTACTTAAGATGTAATCATTGAAATAAGTGAAAGATTAAAAAAAAAACAAACCAACCTCCATGGGGCAGAAAGGGGCCTGGAAAAGTGAAGCTGTTTCTTCCACTCAAGACTCTTTTTGAGCCTAAGTGCTCAGATGGCCCAGGGGCTTTGGTTTTCACTTAAAGATGTTCTTTCTGGAATGCTGGGTTGAGGAGGGGGAGTGGAAAGAAGTGTCTTTTTTAATTCTTTCTGTGGAGTGATACAAAAAGGATGAGGAAGATTAAAAATAGCTTAAAGGAATCAAGAATTAGAACAGTAAAGAGCATGCTTTTTCTATAAAGAGCTAAACTGTAATATTTCCGAGTCTGCCTGCCATATAGTCTCAATGCTACTGAACAATTCGACTGTAGTGTAAAAGAATCAGTAGACAGTGCTTAAGTGAGTGGGTGTGCCTGTGTTCCCAGGAAGCCTTGTTGTTGTTGTTTGGTGGCGTCAAGTCGCATGCGACTCATACTCAGACCCTATGTACAACAGCCCTAAACTCTGTTCTGTCCTGTGCCAATTGCACTGTCTCTGACACTCCCATCCCGATTATCCCAGTCACTGAATCAATCCACCTCATAGAGGGCCTTCCTCTCCTGCGCTGTCCCTCCACCCTCCCAAGAATGATGTCCTTCTCCAGGGACCGGTCTCTCCTTACAACATGTCCAAAGTATGTTAGATGGAGCCTCAGAATCCTTGCCTCCAAGGAGCTGCCTGGTTTAACCCTTTCCAGGATGAATCTGTTTGTTTTCCTAGCAGTCCATGGTACCCTCAATACTCTTCTCCAGCACCACAGCTCAAAGGCATCAATTCTACTATCCTCCTTAGTCATTGTCCAGCTCTCTGATGCATAACAAGTGATTGCAAAGACCATGGCCTGAATCAGACGCACCTTCGTCTCCAGAGAGACACCATTGCTCTTCAATACTTTGGAGAGGTCCCTAACAGCAGATTTTCCCATGGCAATGCGCCTTTTAATTTCCTGGCTACTGGTGCCAAGAGTGTTGACTGTGGAGCCAAGCGAACTAAAGCTGTGTACGATCTCAATCTCTTCACCATCCATCCTGATGCTGCCAATTGACCCAGTGGTGAGAGTCTTTTTCTTCTTGACATTGAGCCTCAATCCATATTGGAGGCTGCAGTCCTTGACCCTCTGCAGCAAGTGCGTCAGGTCCTCCTCAGTTTCAGGTTATGTCATCTGCATAACGCAGATTGTTGATAGATCGTCCACCAATCTTGACCCCACATTTCTCCTCATAGAGCCCAGCCCCCTGGATAATCTGTTCTGCATACAGATTGAAAAGGTTTGGAGATAGGACCCATCCCTGACGTACGCCCTTCCCAATTTTGAACCATGCAGTGTTCCCTTGCTCTGTTCTGACGACTGCCTCCTGGTCTAAGTATAGGTTTCACCTTAGCACGATCCAGTGTTCTGGGATTTCCATTCTTCTCAGAGTCAGCCACAGTTTGTTATGATCTACACAGTCAAACGCCTTTGCATAGTCAGTGAAATACACAGCCATAGTTTACCCAACTCCAAGATTAGAAAGCAGGCATTGATTGTTCATCAGGACTTTGAAAAAAACATTAATGGTAAAAGACAGCATTTGGTAATGTGGAATAATAAGCAAATTGATACAACAAAAAGTACTGGTTAAGTGACTCAGCAGTGCCTCTTAGAGGTCATGAATGAGTGCATGTTATGGACTTGAATGTTGTTATGTGCCGTCACATTGCTTGCAACTTATAGTGACCCTGTGTGCAACAGCCCTGAAACCTGAAATCCTGTGCCAACTTTATTGTCTCCTATACACCTACCCTCATTACCCCAGTCATTATACCAATCCATCTCATCAGTGGTCTCCCTCTCTTTCTCTGTCCCTCCACCCTTCCAATCATGATGTCCCTCTTCAAGGACATCATCTCCAAGGTTCCCTCCTTGCAACATGCCCAAAGTATGTCAGATGAAACCTCAGTAACTTTGCCTCTAAGGAGAAGGCTGGCTTCACTCTCTCTAGGTTGAACCTGTTTGTTCTACTGGCAATCCATGGTATATTCAAAACTTTTCTGCAGCACCACAGCTCAAAAAGGTATCAATTCTTAAAAAAAAAAAAAAGTATCAATTCTCTATCATCCCTACTTGTTGTCCAGCCCTCTGATGCATAGAGAGCAATTGTGAACACTATGGCCTGGATCAAGAAGTCGAGAGAATATTAAATAGGTTTGACTATTTTTAAGATAGGTAGTCCCCTGACTTAATATAACTATGTATTCAAGTTAAAACAAACCACATTTAAAATCATCCCTTGTTTTTTGGGGGGGTTTTGTATCCTAGCTGTAAGTTTATGTGTAATGTTTCTATCCCCACTAAAACAGAAATTGGTTACCATGGGCTGTAGACCAGGCCCCCTATACTTATTTTCTGACTTTCTGTGAACTTGGTATTCCTAAGTGATCCCATGAAGAAGAGGAAGGAAACCCTTTTTGTATCTTACACAGGGATTCTCATCTACTCCAAAGAGTAGAGGCTCAAAGCCAAATTAAATTTTATTTAGAAATAAGATTATATTGCTTACACTATAGAAAATGTGCTAGTGGAGAATTGAGGGCTGATTTGTTGCTTTGGTTACCACGGAGTCAGGTCCGGTTAGTGGCAAGTAGACCTGTGCTCCGTAGAGTTTATAAAGCTGTGACCTTTGGAAACAGATCACCAAGTCTGCCTTTCTGAGGGACCTCTCAGCAGATCCAAACTGCCAACTTGGCTAATAGTAAAGAACTTAACTGTTTATGTCACCCAAGGGCTTCTAAGAGACAACAGAAAATGTCCCCTCAGATTAAAAAAAAACCCCAAATTTAAAACACCACCATGGATTTCCACTTCCCACTAATGATACAGGAAGTCAGAAGAGATTTTTTTTTTCACCCTGACAACCAAAGCAATCTGGATACACAATAGAATCATAGATAGGTTGTTTGCATCTGGTTTTTAAACCCTTTAGAGAGCTGAAGATGCAAAAGAAATGGGGCGGGGGGAAAGTTCCAGAAAGGGCAAGACCCTCTGTAGATGCTGTTCACATTTCTGGTGCAACAACAGGAGGAAGATGAATAAGTCATAGTTGAGGGTAAAGAGAAGTCAGCTGATCTTTTAAAGAACTTCTTATAGTTCTGTGTGGGTGAGAGGCATCCATGTATCAACCATATGCCATAGACCTTTTTTAGTGTTCAGGGTAAGTAATAAACAAAGATTAAAGGCAAGGCAGGAGAGCCAGGGCATGTCCCTCCTGAAGCACTTGACACCCAGCTCCTGTAACCTGGGTAAGTGCATGAATGGTAAAAGAAACCTTCTGCATGCACTCAAGGCCCACCATAGAGTATAAGCAGCTGCCACCTTATGTTTGAGGGCAAAGCAATAGAACTAAAACAGATCCCTTTAAGTAGACAGAGCCAAAGTGACTAGAGAACAAAGAGAAATTCTTAGCATTCCAAAAAGCTGGTAGTGTGAACTAACTCAGTCCTATAAGGACAAATACTGTATAAGACAATTATTGTAGAAATAGATAACTGGTAAAACATGTATGAGAATCTGAGGCGAGGGGGGAGTGTAGGACAGAAGGGTGAGGATGGGTGGGGAGTAATCATAGGGTTGCACAATTTGATGGGTGGAGAAAGGGGTGGGTAAAGGAAATGGAAAAGATATGGTGTGAAAAACAATGTTATACAAACTTTGTCAGTAAACCAGTACAAAATAAAAATTTTATTTAAAAAAAAAAAGCTGATAGTCAATTTTTTTTAAAATTTTATTTTATTATTTTTGTGTGAGTGTACCATCAAATCAGATCTGACTGGTACAGGAGGAGATTGTCCCTCCTTTCCCAGCAGAGCATCTGGTGGATTCAAACCATGAGCTTCTGGGATTGTAGTTGCAGCTCCTTGGCACTAGGCCACCAGAGCTCCCCTGGTAGTCAATTTTTAAAGTAGGCAAAGATATTTCTGATTCTCTGAGCTATGTCTCTGCTGAAGGGAAAGTCCAGACCCCACCTTCAAAATATTTTAATGATGGACTAATTAAAGGAAGCTTGGTGGTATAATGGGTTTAGTGTTGGGTTCCTAGCGAAAAGTTGGTTCAAATCTACCAGCTAATCTTAGGGAGATAGATGAAACTAGTCTGCTTTCTTAAAGAGTTACAGTCTCAGAAACCTTGTACTCACTGTTCTAAAGAGTCTAAAAAGTCGGAATGCACTTAACCACAGCAAGTGATTGAGTATATTGTGGACTGCCAGAAGAACAAACAAACCTGTATTCTAAGTAGTGCGTCCTGAGTGTGCCTTAGAAACTAGCTTGGTGAGACCTTGTCGCAGGTGCTTTGAGCTTATTCTCAGAAGAGGCCAGTCCCTGCACTCTTACTTCCATCATGCTTGGAAAAGTAAAGGGTCATCAAAAGAGAAGATGACCCTCAATGAAATGGATTGGCACAGTGACTGTGACTGAACAGTGAACAGAAGCACCGCAGAGGTGGGGAGGACACAGCTGGACGAGGTTGGGCGCAGTTTTACTCTGCTGTGTGTAGGGGTCACAGGGAGTCAGAGCCGAGAGGTGGCTTGGCAGTGCCTAGCAGCAACAGATAATTAAAGGGGTAATGAGGCTGAGACCCAGATCCGTTACAGATCAGATGGACAT